TCTGGAGGAAATTTCCAATGCCCTCAAGACCTTTGGGAGTAGGCGAGAATACAGCTCTTGAGGAAAGAGTCTAGTTCGCACTGTGGTTACTTCCTCTATCTCTTCATCAGAAAGCTGTCCTTCCTCTTTTTCAGATGAGGAACCATAGGATTCAGAATCTCCCCAAAGGTTACCCAATAAAGGACTACCTTCTCTGGTTGCGGAATATTCATACCTTCTCTTACTACATCTGGAAGGGGAGCCTGAAGTATTTCTGGAATGGCTATGGGATTTACTTTCTTGTCTGCCCCTATCTGAGTAGCCCTTGGCTGATTCAGACTCCTATCTGACTTCCTGTAACATCTCCCTTAGCTCTTTCTTCATCTCCATCTTCAGCCACTGCATTAGGTTGGACTTCGCTTCCTCCCCACTAAGATTCAATTTTTGTAATTTCAGGGATTCTTGGGAAGACAAGGATACCAAGCATCTGGGTAGCACAAATTCACTAACTGGGCTCCCTTTTAGTTGACAGGCAGATGATCCAGCCTGGTCAGCCATTTTGAAGAACTGGGCAACCTGAAGCAAAAGTGAAAGAATTCCCTTAATAAGGAAGTAATAGAGAAAATGGCGACCAAGCTTTCCCACCCTTCCAGACAGGGCCGGCCCGAGGGGTTTCTGCGCCCTAGGCCAGGCTGCCTCGTGGCGCCCCCCTCAGATGTCAACCTCCTGGTGGGGCCTGGAGACCTCTCAGCTGGGTCCCAGCAGCAGGGCCAGCTGAGAGAGGGCTCCGTTCCCTGCCCACTGCCTCCTCCCTGCCCGCCCGCCCAGGGGGCCTTTCTGAGCCAGAGCTGCCACTTGGCCCAAGCCCTTCCCGCGGTCCCCGGCCAGGAAGCAGCCCGGCGGCGGTGGGGATTGGCAGCGGGCGCCGCCAATGGTGCTGGGCGGACCAGACAGGGGCGAGCCTCCCTCCCTCCCTCCGCAGGGACCCACCCACTGGGAGCAGGGGAGTTGACCTGGGCCTCCAAAAACCCTCCCCTGGTCCTCATGGGCCACTCCCTCTCCCTGCGCAGTCGAGGGCAGACCCGAGAGCCCGCTTGCCCGGAGGGAGTTCCGCCCGCACCGGCGCACGAGCAGGGAGGGAAATACGGCTGCCCGAGGACGAGAGGGGCGCGGG